AGTACATTCTTGATAAAACAGTTTTCGATATGCAATTGCCCTGGCAAGATCCACCTGTGTCAGAGGCGAAATAGCCAGAGAGGATATACAATATTAACAACATGATCTGCGTCTATTTCATTTGGGGCATCTTTTTATTTTTTATTTTTATCAATTAATAATTATTTACCAAAAAATAAATATAATTTTACCAAAAAAAAATTAATTAAGATATAAAAATGACAACATAAACCACTCACCAACCGAGCAAAAATTTAGTGAAAATATTTGCATTAAAAACATGGAAGCGTTAAAGAAACGCATTAAATCAGAAAGAAATATAACACTTTTTATGGTCCGAACCGGTCAGTCTCATCACGTCCTACATAAGAATTTGTACGAATTTGTTCTTTGCTAAGGAGTGAGAAGCCGCGGGCAGCTGAACATAAATCAATATTAACAATGAATTATTGATGTGGTCAGTGGAATGGAATGGGAAACGCTCAAATGTGCCTCTTGTTTTCAAAAGCAGTCTTGTTTATTCATTTCCGTTCGAGTACTGCTCTTCTCATTGCTCTCTTGTTTAGCAGGTTTTGGAAAATTGGATTTTCGTATTTTCATTGAAGAATGTAATAAATTTAACTCAACTTTTATGTACTTCTTTAGTGGAAGAATTTCAAGCATTGAAATTTTAAACTGGTCCTGAGAAATAATTTTGTTTAGATAGCAGTAGCTTGGCCATCAGGATTAAGTTGACGATAATAAATCCTTTTTAGGTTTGCGCTCAAATAAATATACACCACAATAACTGACTGCGTGCCTTAATGACAAGAAATATGTGTATTTGCGTACATGTGGTTGCGTGTATGGTCACACACACACACACCACCACACACCACCACACACCACCACACACACGCACACACCACACACACTGATTTATGCCTATTTTAAAATTGATTAAATAAAAAAACCAAAATAATTACTAACAAGTGATGAATTAGATAAAATTATATGATATAACAATTCACCACGTTTATGCCGTTATATCGAGTTTATTATAATGTCAGATTATCATGGATTCATTGTAGTTAATAAAACTAATTAACTGAAAATAAGATTTCAATCTTTTTAGAAGTAGAATAATTTTAATGCGTGGGATAAAATAATTAAGGAGCTATTTATTTTTTCTTTGTCCTTAACCTTAAATTAGATGTGTCAATTTAATTTGTCTAAAATTAACATATCATTCGCGGTGTTTGTTCAATTTTAGTTTGGACTCTTATATTTCACAATACACACGTACCTAAGTTGCTAATGAAGAATATAAACGTGATTTTCAAAAACTCGTTTTAATAAAAAAGATTAATTCGTGTTTGCCCAGATAAAACTTTAATATTTTATTTTTATGAAATTGTGAGTTTTATGGATTGTACATTTTTTTAGACAAACATTTGACATAACATGTCTATTACTGAAGACGCATGCAGATGAGGCACATCCAACAATATGCCACGATGTTGGTGGACAGGTGATGGATTCCAGTCTGAATTATTCGTCAATTATTCAACAGGGTGCCATATTTTACATGCTTAATTCGTCGGTATGCTATATATATATATATATATATATATATATATGGGTTCAGAATGTGTATATATAAATATACAACATTAAACATATATATACAACTTTAAATATAAATATACAGCTTTTTTGACTTAAAAACTTGTGTAGGGAGAAGGAAGGAAGAGAGAAAGAGATAAAAAAAAGAAGATATAACAGCGAGAGTGAGAGAGAAAAGGAGAAGAGTGCAAGCCGAAAGAGGGTAGGATATTTGAGGGAGAGTTGAAGAGTCGCATGATTAACGCTCCTATTTTAAAAGCTGCTGTCCCGGCAATCAATAGGACATTCATCAAGATATTTCACTAACTCTCACAATACAATGAAAACGTCGAATCAGGAGGAGGAAAATAAATTTATGCAAGGAGGAGATGCGTATAATACCTGCTCTGAAGTCCCCTCTTCATTTCTACACGTCTCATGCAAGTATGCACGTATATATATACAACACACAGGATTGTACTTTTTTTACTTTGTATATGAAGATTACAAATGCAGCATAAATGTTTATCCGCTGAATATCCATCCCCTTTGAACGTTTATCGTGGATCATTTGGGTGGGGCGAAGGTCATACGGAGGTCATCGTACAAGTCGGGCAACGATAAAAATAGCACTTCGTCACGTATTCATGAGCATTGTTAAAAGGTGCGCACCATATAAAGCGGGAAAAAATATTTTTAAAAATGACAGCTTGTATTGATTCGATCATAATTTATTTGTTTTATTTGGCGCTTAATTTTTTGCTAGTGCTTGATTAGAAAAGAAAATTTTTTTTAAATTAATTTCGAGAAATAATTTTTTTAATACAATTTATGGAGTTGTAAAAAAATTTTTGCTGAATAGCCGGGCGAAAACTTTATGACCTGTTAGCACAAAAACATGAAATAAAAATTAAATGACTTCAACTCCATAATAATTTTAAAGTTTAATAAAAACTATCAGTTTAATTATATTTAAAATGTTGATAACAATATCAATAGTTAATAAAGCTATTTTGAAATGTTCTTAAAATCGACAGACTACTTGAATGACGACTTTGGAAAGTAAAGAAAAATTAATTTAAAGAGTTGTCGGCCTAACAAGCATCGATGTGACTATCGGAGGCAGCCATCAAACCAAACAATTTCGTGTGATTGGCAGCTTTCCACATGAATGCGCGTGGATATAATAAAAAATCATTCCTATTTAAACAATGCTTATTTGAGCGTGAAATAAAATCTGACTGCAGTTCCGTTTAAGTTATGTTTAGAAAACCATCTTACATTCACTCAATCAGCACACTTGAAACAAGGATTATGCTTGGTTGGTTGTTAGCAGTCAGCAGTCACGTGGGATGTGAATGAAAACAATCGACACACCACAACAAAATTCAACTTCGGTGTTAATCAAATTCTAAAAACAGGAAATAAGTGAAAAATTGTGTGAATTTTTGAAAGAATAGAATGAGCATCTAATATGGGCTGACTATTTTGAGATCTAAAGTAAAAAGATCTTCACCTTGTTTCCACCATTGCAAGCTCCAATTAATTGTTCATGAACACAGACACAAACACACACAAGTACAGACAGAGACAAACTTAGTCAAACTTCATTAATAACAGTTATTTATGTTTAAGTTTGTTTGTATGTATGAATGTTTGTTTGTTGTAATGTATGTATGCATAAATGTTTGTTGTAATGTATGTATGTTTATATGCATGTATGCATGTATGTCTGTTGTTATGTGTGTTTGGAAGCGTCCAGTTGCTGTACACACTTGTGCATGATTGATGAAGAGTTTGTACAAGTTAAAAGTTTTTAACGTTCACTTGGAATCATTAGCAGGAGATGGATGGTGATGTGGTGGTGGAGCGGCGATGGTGGGAGAATTATGTTGCCCCACCGACCATGCCACCAGTGCTAATTCCATTCGTCTTTTTAATTACTGTTTTTGACTGACCTTTAATTAAATAATCATTTTTCGATCGGAGGTCAGCTTAGATATTTATGTTTCACTAATTAGATAAATTTATTTTTAAAAAAATACTTTCTTGGTAAAATTAAGGTGTACGTTGTAAGAATAATTTAAAGATGTTAATTTGAGTTGGTTAATAGAAGTAACATACGCACATGTTTTTTCATTGGTGAACTTTTTTTAATTTAAAATAAGAAATAAAATAAATTAAGTTATTTATAAATCTAACTATACTCAACTTTTTGTTTCAGTTATATTTTTTAATATTTTAAAAATTAGAAAAAATAAATAAAATAACTATGACTTATTAATTACGAAAAATTATCTTAAAAACTTTTTTAAATGAGTGGCTTCAATTAGTGCAGTAAATGAGCTGAACATAGGTGTGATAAAGGTACTGCTAAGAAAGCTTTCAGGCAAATAAAAAATTGATCAATACTGGTTTGAGAACATTTGTTAAAAATATTGCCAATAATAAGTGACACAAAATGAAATCTATGTGATATATTCAAATAAATTAATAAGGACATTTTTATTCAACCAACTTCTAATCAATCACCTTCATATATCAAGTCAAGTCGAAAACCATTAAACAGAGAAACAAACATACAAATTAACATACAACACACAAACAAATAACATACAAACAAACATACATATACAAACAAATAACAGACAGACAGATAAACAAAAAAACAAACAAACAAAGAGTAGAACAGGCTAATTCTAGCGACGTGGGAAATGTGCATTTGAGTCGGGATTTAATTACGAAGCAAATAGGAACAACACTTGATCAACTAACGATCCTTTTAATCAATTTTTTAATACGTCTCTAATTAAATAACCGCTATAAATAATTTCTTACTCTATGTTGAAAACTTTTAACAATTCGTTTGTTCAAGTTTTCAAGTTTACTTTTTAATTTTCATAATCTAAAATAACTTACATTCAATACTGTAGAACATACACTGTTTATTGTGATAAAAAATTATTCTTTACTCAGTGTTAATTAACATTGATGATGCGAAATAAGTAATAGTTTGTCAAAGAGTACGTTAAAACTCCGCTAGTATGCTATATTTTCGCTTAGCAAGTGCTTTATTATTTGATTCGAACAAACGAATGGATTATAAAAACTTCATTGTTTCAACTATTGAAGTTATTTTAGAAGTTAACCAGAAATTGACGAAATTTTCATGCTCGACACCAAGCCATCGATACTTAGCATTCGAATGTGTTTTAAAACGCCAAGCTCTTCTTATTTCCTGAAATGGTGTTAAAATGAAAAATTTCGTAGGACTCAAACTTTTTCATTGGCAAAACTCAAATCATCATTCAGCATCTGAAGTCTTGACTGTCAGCGTTTCAAATAAAATTATTTGTTTGGTTGATAAAATTGTTATTAGTAGCACAACAACGTAAACAACAAGTGAATAACTACAGATGAAAGTGGAAAAAGTGGAATTTGAGGATCGCAAACGACAGGCACTCAGCGTCAAGTGCAGCAGTCGGAAAATTGATAAAAAGTTCGGAGCGATGCAATGTGAAGTGCGTGCATGTAGAGAACAAAGAGAACCAGCTGGAGATATTTTTTTGTTATTTCTTTTGAAGAGGTACTCCTCATAACTTGCATAACTGGCTCCGTACATTTAAGTAAATAATTCAACAAAAATTATTTGAATTTGTCAGATAAAATTATAGTCCATTCAATTTACATAAAATAGTGTACTATTTTATTTGTAGTTTCAAAAATTATTTTTAGTATGAAAAATCTCTTCTAAAAATAGTAAACTCTAGACCCTACATAATTTTCTTCACGGAAACATGCCAATATGAAACCAACAAAAGTAAAAAATTGGTAATTTCTCTATAAATTTTTAAAAATGTATTTTATGTATTTTTGAAAGTTTGATAAAGTTGATGAAATGTGTAGAATATTAAAGCCATGTTTGATATTGGGGAGACCAAATGCAGATTGCAAGAACGTGAAGTGGGCAATTAAGAAGAAGACATGGTTAGACAAGTAAGTGTATTGAACTATTTTGCTTCGGAAGTTCTTAAATAATTGATCAGCCACTATTCTTTGGTCGGAGCACTTGCATTCTTTTATTACTTCATCTCTCCATCTTGCGTTATTATTTTCCAGCGTTGTGTCTTTGCTACTTAATGTTATCGTGCGTCTTTTATTTTGAATGTATTTTAAATTATATAACTCAGAAATTTTTCAAAATTCAGTTCGATAATTTTTTATTTGTTGCTTCGTCAATTTTGTCAATCAATTCCGTTGGCTAAACTGTTATATTAGTTGCTTGTTAATTATATTATATTTAAATGGTATATGTTACTCTGGTCTTGTGACAGAACATAATGCATTACTCTCCGCTTATACTTTCCCACGTGCACGTGCATGTGTGTGTGTGTAGCACTTTTTGCGTGCCAACGATGAGGTTTGTTTGTGTGCATGGGTAGATGCGTGTGTTGTACACGTGTGAATGTTTGCGCTGTATATGCGTGTGTGTGCGCTGAGTTTGAATGTATTGTACACATGTATATGCGTGTGCCGTACGTGTGGGCATGATTTGAAAAGTTCATATGCGAATATGCGAAGAAGTGAAGGTTTATATCATATATGCGTGTGTTGTATGTGTGTGTTGTACTTGTAGGTATGCATGGGTTGTACGTGTGTTGATGTGTTGTAAGAGTGGGTATGCTTGAATATATTCAAAAGTTAGGGCTTGTATTTCCATTGTTGTACACGTTTGCCTTGCGGAGCAGTTTTGAAAAAAAAACAAATTTTAAATAATTTTTTCATTACAAATTTCAAAAAACTAAAAAAAATTATTTATTTGTTTTCCTGAGGCAAAAATATAAAAAATTACTCTCTGCTAGAAAAATATTTTACGAATTAAATTTAACGTATTCAAAAATATGTAATACTTCCGAACTTATTTGACGAAATCTGTATGCAGTGTGTGCGCCAGAGAGAACATAGTTTGGGCTGGCATGAAATCATCGATCAGGAGCCATAAAAACATTTCTCGCAAACATATTCGCTGGAGCTGTCATTGATTAACTTTCGTAAACTGGATGCCAGGAAGCAACAACAAATAATTCAGAATGAGGCAAAATTAATTAAATTTGTGACAATTCGATCTGATGAATTTAATTGCGACTGAAGATTGTACAACATTCTATCTAATGTCAATATTAATGACAAATTTCTTCTTATCTTAACAACGATGTAATAGCAATTAAAATGTTGAATCAATCTATTTCGCGTAAATAAAAAATTTTTTTTTTATTTTTAACAATTTCGACGCTGGTTGTCGTGCTTCGTGTTGGATGTTGTCTGTGTGTACTGTACATTAGTGCAGAATCAAATGAATTGTATACCTAAATGTAGAATCAACTGTAGTCTCCAGTTTATGGGTTTAAGGATGGAATGCTCCACAATTAGGAATCTCAATATTTTATCGACTCATAACAATTATAGTGATTTTAGGAATTTTTAAACTAATAAATAATAAATGAATTATTTTAATTTCTATATAATTTAAAACCGTGATCGAATAGCGATCGTACCGGCAGACAATAACAGCCTGCACGGTTGGTTTGTGGCGCGCACACGTTTAATGCCTTGCATCCATTGTTGGCGTTCAGCAGAAAAATTTTAAATCGTTTTCGAAGAGGAAATGAAATTTTGGGACGCGTATAAATGTGAAATAATTTTATTTTTTGTTACGTTACTTTTTGATGTCGTTGTACGATGAATGAAACTTTTAGCAAAACAATTTGAATACAATTTTCATTTCAGCATTCTTGTTTTATTTTGTAAAAATAAAATTTGCGTTTTGTTGATTAGTTCATTCATGACAATAGAATTTTTTTAAGAAACTTTCTAGCTCCTCATTACATTCATATGTTGAAGACCATTTTTTCATAATTATTTCTCAGACTTAATTACAACACACCATACACACCACATACACACCACATACACACACATACACATACACAACACCAATGTATGAGATAAGGGGGACATCTCTGCAGTCGAACCCAGTAACTGCAAAGCAAGGCCAGGTGTCTTCAACGTTCATATGTTTACAAATCGTCAACAAATCAGCACAAGCAGAATATCACCAGCCATCATCAACCCTCTATAATTATTCAAAAATTAGTTATATTTTTTAATAGTACACCCAATACTTGCACATACTATCAATAGATAGATATTTTAACCAGTTACAAAATTTTAAAACAACACATTTAGAAAAAAACTTTAATAATTAAATACATATATACAACCGGATACAAACGCTAACACACACACACGCACACACACACAAACACGCACACACGCACACACACACTTCATCAAAAATGGAAAATAAAAAAAACTGTCGGCAAATTGCCGTTCACGTTGATTCATTCCCCTCAGTTAGTCATCTCTTCCTAATTAGGATGACAAGTGTGCACAGACAGACAGATGACTCCAGTTTGTGTAATGGCACATGCATGTTTATGTGAATGATACGTGTATGTTTGTGTCAATGATACTTGCGTGTGTCAATGATACTACACATTATACAAAAACAACATATGTGCAAGCTTCTGTCAACGTGACGGGCGTGGTCGTGTGTAAGATACATGGTTGTGTGTAAGATACATGGTTGTGTGTAGGATACATGGTTGTGTGTATGAAACATGGTTGTGTGTTAGATTTATGAGTGTTCATGCACAATATATGCACATATGTGGTTGAAAGGCATGTATATTTGTGCGGGTTTACATAAGTTGTTTATGAAATTGTATGCACACATATTATTTGTCAGTGTGTCAGTGCAAAAATGTTTGTTCAGGCATATATCTTGCTAAATTTAATGTCTCAATTATTCATGATTGTTAATTGGACAAATATTTGAGTGTCGGTTAGAAACATTCATTGAAATCTAAAAATTTGATGGCAGTTATGTTAAAAGTTATGCTAAGGAAGGATCACATAATTTTCAAAGTTAGCTGACAGTGATGATGATGATGATAATGATGGTGGCGATGAGTTGAAATGTTGGTGAAACAATATTGAAACAACAACAAATTGGAGATATGGGGGAGATATGGCAATGTGGAGATAAATGACAAGTGTCAAAAAATTATTTTACTCTTCAGCATCAGTCAATCGGCATCAACATGATCAAACATGAAGTCCAGTCGGTCAGCAGACAAGCCGCAATGGTCGAATGTTCGAATGTTTCAATGTTCCAGTGTTACAACGTTTTGTTTCGATCAGAATTTTTTGTCAGAGTGTTTGTAATTGTTGGAAGGACGATAAAATAATAATTGATTGATCCGTGACCGTCACGTTCGAGATGATGATCCATCGTCCCATCATATTTCCATCTCTGCTACTTATTTCTAATTTTGTCCCTCTGTATTTGTTTTCGATTTTACTCAAAATCATCTCTGGTGGTATTTTTGGGTATTTTTGTGTTGAGATATAAATCCAGTTGGAAAATAATTTTCTTGTTTGAATTGGTATCAAATATAAAATTTAAGAAAAAATTGTCAAATCTAAATTCGCAAACAATAATAATTATAAAATAATAAAAAATAAATAAAGTTATCATAAGTTAACTTAACAAATAAAAAATTATTTAATAAGGCGATGGAATATCAGACAACAAAGTTATGCGATGAGGTTGAGAGATCTCCATTGAAATAAATAGCAGGACAGGTAGTAGTCTGAATAAGCGTCCTCTCCAGCCTGTCTTAGGTACTTTGAAGCTTCATGGAAATTACCAAAAAACTTATCACCCTGGGTATTAGAAATATTTTTAAAAGTTTAAAAGTAAGAGAACGTTAAATATAAGTATGCAAACAAACATCAGACACAAACATACCAGCAACATACATCTGTATATGCACAAAGTATATGTAACAATACAATACACTACACACGTACCAGTAGATTACACAAGTACCAGTAGAGTACACACGTACCAGTAGAGTACTCAAGTATTGACAAGATACACGACCACGTTGTCATATGATACATTGTGGACAGCACCTTAATTATACATGCGCCTGTGCTGACCTGCTTACTTACTAGCATTGATGTTCTGACATGCATAATATTTCATCCAAATAACTAACCCAGCTTCTCGGTTTTTGTGTTTGCTGGTCAGAAAAAAATATTTGTGGCAACTTTTTATGTTTGTTTTTTCTTATATGTATTCAGTTTCAGTAAACTATCCATGCCAAGTTGCTGGTATTCACATCGTGTGACATTGCGAATGTTTTCAATTGATTGTGACTTATCTGTAAGAGCAGAATATGACATTTGTTATAAACTACTTTTGACGTTTCAACATTACTCATCTACCTAAATATTTCAATGTCATTTTGGAAATACTCAACTAGTTAAATAATTAATTTCTATGATTATTCAAATTTAGGTAATAAAATTTGACAATTTATTGTTTAAAATCAATATACGAACTTTTAGGCAGAGGCATATTTAAAAACACACACAAACAAGAACATATACAACAAGAATGTTTTTTAAAACTTTAACATCAACATAATTAATATCTGCACGCACATACACGCACGCACGCACACACACGCTTTACACACAATTACACACACACACACACACACATATATGCAAATACATACACATGAACACACACACATATTCTTTCATGCCTGATTTTATATGCGCATGAATGAACATTTCCGAAATATTTTTATAATTAAAAGTAGATGACGATGCTGAAAAACATTTTTCAGTAAGAGATTTTACGATTGGGTGTTTTTGGAAAATGATTTTTTCTAAATAAAATTTTGTTCAATTCGTTAAGTTGTCGGTGGGTGGTTAACGATATTGACTGTGTTGATAATATTAATGTATATGACATTAATTACATTAATGATGTTGTTTACGTTGATGACATCAATGCTATTAATCATGTTGTTGATCTGGATGGTGCCAGTTGTTCTGATGTTTGAGGATAATAAAGACGATGACATTATTTATATCGAGGATGGCAATAAAGACGTTGTTGTTGTGATTGTTGTTGTTGTGATTGTTGTTGTTGTGATTGTTGTTGTTGTGATTGTTGTTGTTGTGATTGTTGTTGTTGTGATTGTTGTTGTTGTGATTGTTGTTGTTGTGATTGTTGTTGTTGTGATTGTTGTGATTGTTGTGGTTGTGATTGTTGTTGTTGTGATTGTTGTGATTGTTGTTGTTATTGTTGTTGAAGAAGAAAAGAAGAAGAAAAACATTTTTCATAGCAGAAGTGTTGATAAAGTGCGTGTTATTGTTGTTCCTATCGGATTTTTGTGATTTTTTTTGCTCGTGCGGATAAGGCAGTAGTCAGTGTTGTTGTTGTTGTTTTTGTTGTTGTTGCTATTGTTGTTGCTTGAAAATGAAAATAGCGTGTACTTCACACAATGGCTTCAAGCATTTAATATCTTTATTCACTAAAATGCAAATAAAAATGTTCAAAAGTTTTTTACGGTTATGCCCTTTCAACAAAACATAATATGATATAGCAACGCACACACAACAACACATACAACACACATTAATATACAATACATAACACACAACACACCACACACACACACATCACACAAACAACGGAAAAACACAACAAAACACAACAACATACACATACAATAATTTCCATGTGTGATGTTGTTTCCAGCGCGGTTTAATTTCACGTGTCAGCTTTTAGTCAGTCTATCATTTATTATGCATGATGCCATCAATAAGTTTATCGTTAATTCTCCCATGTATAAACATACTTATTAAATTATAAGGTTATTTGTGTATATAAATAATAACATTTAAGATAACATACATATACATTTGTGATAATAGAATGTCCAGTAACACGCATTTATTTGTTTGTACGTGTTTGTCACACATTACAATTTATAAATAATTCCTTACATTCGTAGGTTTAAAGTTTATTCTTCTAAATGTGAAAAGCAACAAAAAATGAGTGATTTTGTTAAGTAAATTTTTTTAGTTTCAATTTTTTTAATTTAATATTACTTAGAGCAAAATTATTATATTAACTTCAAATCAAAACAAAGACATCAAATTCCTTAAAAATGTGAAACATTTTATTCCCAACGAAAATATTAACTTACCATCAAATACGAAAATCAGAAGATTGCTCGTAAAATCATTAACAAGTTGACAAATAAACAAATTTAATATATGATAACACAAAACAACATGAGCAACGAAATGACATCAGCCACAAAACAGCTATCTTCACCACACAGCGGCAAACCTCTGCAATAAACGTTGCATCAACAAAAGCAACGCCATTTAAATCAGCGGGAGCAACGCAAAGCTGCATACACTTTATTATAGCGAGCGCATGTACTTCGTTATATCGAATGCGTATACTTCATTATATCGAATGAATAGCCATTTGTGCGTAGTATTGTCAGGCATGCAATTTAATGCGCGGGTCAAATTGAATGACTGCCT